TGAGGTTAAATTGAGAGAAGAATATAGCTTTTCTATAAGAAAAATAAATAAATAAAATGTATGGATAATGTATCATCACCAAGGAGTCCGATGAGGAAAGATACACCAGACACATTTGGCAAAATTATTAAAGATGTTTGTTACCCGGTGGGACACTCGGGATGAGCGAGCTCCACGGTTGGTATTGGGCCTCGCTGCACTACTCTTGAATCTTGAGAAATCAGGAGTCCATCACCGCTGGACTAACTCTTGATGCCACGTCCGGAATTTCCATTCAAGAGCTGTCAGATTCACTCTCGAAAAAGTCGAGAGTGAGGCATCACTGCACTAACTGTGAAAAAGTGCTCTTTGCAGCTCTTAGTTTGGTTCTCCAAGAGGTGTCAGAAACCGCCCATCGGACGAGCTCTTGAAGATTCCACAGTTCCCGCCTGCAGGGGCATTTTTTTCAAACGAGGCCGACCGGAACCTTCGTGCGGTTTGCAAATTCGAGAGTTGGCCTCCCTTCTCGGTGGACAAATCGTTGCTGCCCTGTCGTGTAGTGCCTTTTCAGTCTCTCTATCTTCTGTCCGACAGTCAAGAATGCTCACGAGAGTCGAGAGTCCGGAGTAAGTGCAGTGACTACAGCACTTGATGGCAATCCAGGAGCCTGACAGTGCTAGACGTACTCTTGAAATTTTTCATGTGTCTAGCGTAGTGCAGTGAGGCAAATTTTCATCCTTTTTTTTGTGATCTATTTTCGTGATGAATGGAGGCAGTACAATATGATTAGTATTTCGCAAACAATTGTGCCTGGTTTATCGTTAGTGGCAGCGGGCGGCAGGCGATCGCATAGGCATGCGACGCGAAGCGGCATCGGTTTACAGACAGCCAGACCCTACCACTGGCATGGCGGAAGTCTCGCGGGGTGTGGGAGCGTGTGGGCGCACAGGTCCTCGACGGGTGCCTGGCCATAGCTGGTCCCGGCCGAAGAACTTGGTAGTCCTTTCTGGTCTCGGAGGGTGAGGTTGATACGTGGGGAAGATCGGAGGGCGGGATCTGGCGGCCGCTAAATAGCAGATAATAATGTAAATTGATCGGGAGGGTGCATACCCCCTGGTCTACAGATATGGAGCTTTTCTTATTTTTGTTGGCCTCGTTTTTTGGTTGACATGTGCGAGGCGGGGTTGTAATGTTGGGAGTGCAACAGTCGGGTCCGATGGGATGGAGCCACGGTTGGCTTGACGGGAAAGGTTACAGTTGGTGGGGTTCTTGGGTCTTCGGGGGCAAAGCTGTCTGTAACGTGATGGAGACAAGGACTCGAGGAGTTCAGTGGATTGACGACGTTTACAACGTTTAAGTCTTGCTACAGTGCTTGGGAATTGGAGTGGAATTGTGTGTGTGGAATAGTATGTGGTCCTGTAGGTTGGCAACCCTGCTGTCTGTATTGTTGCCGGTGTTTGCCACCTTGTGCTGGATGGAAACCCGAAGTCAACATTTAGTGTCCCTGAACATTTAGTTTGCTTCTTCAAACGAATATGCAGTTGTAATGACAGCCAGAAGAAGGCCTCATCTGTAAGCGTGGAATTTTAGCAGTCCCGTGGGGAGTTTACTACGCAGTAGAAAGAAACTCCGCTTTGCAGAAAAGTCGCATCGCGGAGTTTGGAACTACAGTTCAGTCAGGAAGGTGGCCGTTTTTTTTTGTTTTTTTTTTTCCACCCCCACGGGACTGGAATTAACAACTGCACAGTTACTGCAGTTTGAAATGCATTTAGATACTCAAACCATGACCACACCCTAGTTTTGTCTAGTTAAAATGTGATGGTTGGGCCAGTCGGACGAGGCAGGGAAAGTGGCACAAGCGGCAAATGGGGTATCAAATGTCAGCGGCCTGGCGGTCCGTGGGGAGGGGCATTTTGCTTCCACCTCTGGAGGTGGTAGCAAACTTTTTTTTTTTTTTTTAGTTCAAAAATTCGTGAAAGGAAATTTGAAACGAACTTAAAAAAAAAAATTTAAGTTGAAGGATTTGGGCCGCGCGCTGTGTGAGCATGTGAGGCACCATTTTGGCGATTGCCAGAAAGTCCGGATTATAGTGTCTTTTGTGATTTGCTGCCGCTATGCGACCCGACACGGTGGCATTTCAGCAAAACCAGGATAGCAAACTCACAGATTTTGAGGCTTTGCCACCACTGTTTGAGGATGCCCACCGTTTATCAATTGGTTTTGCCTTCATGAACCCCTGGGTGTGTTTAGGCTTCGTTTTTCTGTAGGTTGGTGTAATTTCGCGTTCTTTCATTACTCTTTCCCTGGGTGCCACTGCTGGGGAAGTACAAGTGTGGGAGGCTGAGGGGCTTTCCCTGCAAACAACTCAATGTGTTACTGACGGCAGTGGACAGCAGAGGCATCAGGTGCAACCTGCAGAACAGCCACCGGCACTACCTCTCGTATCTATGCCCTCATTGCCTCCCTTGGAGTCTCCGGAGAAGGCACCTTCAACAGGCTCGTCCGCGATGACTGGGCTCGATCCGCAAAAGACCTCCCCCGACGGAAATGAAACAGGACCCCCAGGACATTGTTTAAAGCCTCTCCCTGCCTCCACAGACGAGCGAACAGCTAAGCCCCTCTCTGCCAACACTGCTCACATCAAACAACGATGGGGTCACCTAAAAGGAATGAACAATCTGCTGCGATTTGACTACCTGCATAACCTTACGCAAGGGCTGAAAACACTCATCCCGACAGAAACACACCTGACGATAAATGGGACACAGTTATTTCAGGCAGCCCAACCATTGCTACGAATGTCCCAGCAGCAGAAGGACCATAGACGCCACGACCAGGGATGCGGGAAGGCCCTGCCAGACCTGGCCCTTGGGGCCCAAACACACACGAAGGACGAAGGGGCCACTGGGCACACAGGGGATGGTCAGCATCACCACACCAAGGTACTGCACTCACCTTCTTTTGGAAGAAATCAGTCTCACGCGCTAGCTGGCACCTCGCAAATTGCTCTCTCTGGGATGGAAACCCACAGTGAACAGCTTGTACACAGCGACAAGGTGACTGATAAACACAGCGGACAGCTCGAAAATAACGACCCTCTCCCAGGCATGGCTCCAACCCTTCTGTCCCCCCGGATGCAGAGCGGGGATCACAAAGGGAAATCAGGGTCGACGAGCCGCCAAACACGAGGGAATGATCAAACAGCAACATACCGTACAGAGAAGTACCAGAGACTTCTGGAAGAACAGGAACAGGCAGAACAGGAACTCCAGGAGGCAATAGCTCAGGGAAAAGCAAGGCGGGCTATCAGGCCATAAACTACGATTTCGTCAAAACGGACATTTTTTATTTTTTGAACGAAATTGAAACTCAGATTTTTTGCCTTTTTTTTCATATTTTGTGTAATTTTGAGCTACGAAAAAGGGGGGTAAGGGGTAAGGGGTAAGGGGTCAGGGGTCAGGGGTAAGGGGTCATGGGTCAGGGGTAAGGGGTCAGGGGTAAGGGGTAAGGGGTAAGGGGTCAGGGGTAAAGGGGTAAGGGGTAAGGGTTATCAGGTAAGGGGTAAGGGGTAAGGAGGAGAGGTGTAAGAGGTAAGACCTACGATGACCTCTCGTAAATTGTACTTCTGACACGATCCGTCACATTTTATCATGAACCGCATTATTAATCCTCGTTACACTTACAAACTCATTTTATCATATATCAGGTCTAGTTGTGATCACAACATGGTYGTTTCACATTTGTTTGAACATCTATAATGTAAAAGGAACAAATTYGTCTACTCCACAACAGCTACGTCGRAAGCTATCCGGCATCGTATTTTCTTCRTGTCATCTGATGTGAACCTGAAAGGTGGAAGAAACCCTCTCGCCAATAGTGATGCATATGTCAGCATAAAGACACCGCACTCGTTGAAGTCGCGCTGCTTCGGAATGCCTTCCACTTCCCATATATGGTTGAAGTTAGCAGTGTCGATTT